GGTGAGAGGGAGGGAGAGAGGAGGTGAGCCAGAGGCGGAGTTGGTGACCTATCAGGCCCTCCTGGCACCAGATCCCAGTCCCACCACCCTCTCCTCTTCCCTGGCACCTCCACACCCAGCTCCAGTCAAACAGAAAACTGAAAAGACATGAAAAGTCTGAGCCATCATCCCAGCCCAGGACCCCGGCCCCAGGCAGGGTTCAGCGCCCGGAGCACGGATGTCCCTCCCCAGTTTTACCTGCCACGCGTGGGTGTGGGGCAGCCTGCTTCGAGTCCCATCCGTGTCTCTGGCCCCCTACCTGTCTCAGGGTGTGGTGTGGCATGGCATGGGCTGTCCTTACCTGGACGTGCAGGCGTGTTTCTTGCAGTCAGACTGGGTGGGTTTGGGGCAGAAGGCCTCAGAGGGAGGCGCCCGTCACAGCCGCCCGCGCTGTCACCATGGCTGGTCAGCGCGGTGACCCGGCCCTGGCTCCTCAGCTCCGTGAGGCCCCCTGCTGGCCCTTCCTGCACTGTCCTCTGTGTGTTCAAGTTATCCTTGGAGTTACCGTCCGACACGACCTGATTTAGGGCCCCCGGTGCCGCTGTCCGTGCATCCGTCGGTCGGCCGGCTGTGCCTGTGTCCGGGAGCCCGTTCCTTCCCAGGGACCTGGACGTGGCAGCTCAGCCCCCGCCCCGAGCCCTGGGAGCAGCCTCGCCGGTTCGCCTCCCCTTGCTTCCTCGCCTGCCACAGCCTCTCATCCCCGCGCCCCCTCTGACCGCATCGGCCGGGGACGCCTGGGGGTCAGGGTCCTGGGGCCAGAGTGGGGATCCCTGCAGGAGGGGTACAGCAGACCCCGCACACAGGAAGGGACAGGACGGGGTCCGGGTGGGCTCAGCACCAGTGTCACCAGCAGGAGGCAGTGCTGCCTCGGGCTAGCCACCTCCCCTGGAGCTGTCCTGAGCGACCTGGTGCCCTCCTCCCCTACCCCCACTCTGAGGCAGCCTGGGCCCCATCAAAACCAAGAGGTTGGTGCCCAGCCAGCCTGATTCAGTGGTTGAGCATTGACCTATGAACCAGGAGGTGAGGGTTCAATTCCCGGTCAGGGCACATGCCCAGGTTGCGGGCCCCATCCCCAGTAGAGGGCGTGAGGAGGCAGCTGACCAGTTATTCTCATCATTGGTGTTTCAATCTCTCCCTCTCTCTTCCTCTCTGAAATCAATAAAAATATTTTTAAAAGAAAAACAATATTTAAAAGGGGGGGGGGGCTGGAGTCTGCCCCCCAAAAGGACTCCTCCCAGGGAGCTGGGGGGGGGGCAACCGGGGACTAGGCCCGCCCGCCTGCCCTGGGTTCTCCCTGGTCTATGTAGAAGGCTCTGCGCCGAAGGGGGCAGCGGGGCGGGGGAGGACGTTAGATTGAATGGCCGTCCACTCAGACTGAGGTCACAGCGGCGGTGCCCCTGGGGACGGGAGTCACTCCCCAGGTTCCGTGCCAGGTTCCGTGCCAGGCCCACAGCACTAGGGCAGCAGCTTCCCTCGTCCTGGCCAGGGTCAGGGTCAGGGTCAGGGTCAGACCTCACCCACCGGACCCCCGAGTTTGGAGACGGGTGGGACTGGGGCATTAGAGGGCTGGGCACTGGATCTCTATGTGGCCCTTCTGACGCCCTCAGCACGCCCTCCGCCTGAGGTCTGAGACCCACAGCCTGTCCCTCTGAAGGCTGCTGCCAGCACGGCGCCCACTCCGACCTGTGTCCTCCGCCCGTGCCCAGGCCTCCCCCCAGGACGCCCCGTGGCCATGCCTGCCCTTCCTGCCTGCGGACCAGGCCAGCCCCTGCCTGTGTGTGTGCACACAGGATTAGTGTGTCTGTATGTGTGTGTACACAGATTGAGTGTGTGAGTGTGCACACAGGATGTTAGTGTGCCTGTGTGTGAGTGTACACAGGTTGAGTGTGTGCCTGTATGAGTGTATATACACAGGATGTTAGTGTGCCTGTGTGTGTGTGTGTACACAGGATTAGTATGCCTGTGTGTGTACACAGATTGTGTGTGTGTGTACCTATGTGTGAGTGTGCACACAGGATGTTAGTGTGCCTGTATGTGTGAGTGTGTACACAGGTGGAGTGTGTGTACCTGTATGTGAGTGTACACAGGTTGAGTGTATGCCTGTATGAGTGTATATACACAGGATGTTAGTGTGCCTGTGTGTGTGTGTGTGTGCACACAGGATGTTAGTGTGCCTGTATGTGTGTGCACACAGGATTAGTGTGCCTGTGAGTGTACACAGGTTGAGTGTGTGCCTGTGTGTGTGTGCACACAGGATGATAGTTTGCCTGTGTGTGTGTGTACACAGGTGAGCGTGTGAGCCCATTGTGGGGGGGACATCAGAGCCTGCCTCTAGGGCCCTTACCAGGTCCACCCCTCTCGGCTGGGGGTGGCTCTCGCCCTCAGTGCCATCTGCCTGGGTGCCCAGGGCCCCCAGAGGGGCTGCTGGATGAGCACAGGAGGGCTGGGCCGGCCCAGGCCTCGCCGGCCCCCCGCCCCCAGGGTCAGGCTGAGGACGGCCGCCCGCCCACCCCCCGGGGGCAGAAAGGCCGAGCCCCCTGGCGCTCCGACGCCCGGACCCGAACGGGAACCGGCGGAACAAACGAGGCTGGAGGACGTGGTATTTTAAACGCTCGCATCGTGTTTCTCCTCCGCGTCCGTCCTTTCCTTCCCGATTCGCGCTGCGGCCGGCGGAAGGGCGTCAGGCAGCGCCGCGGGCGGCAGCGGCGGGGACAGCCCCGGGGCAGGGCGGCCGGGCAGGGGTGCCACCAGCCCACCGGGCCCGCCTCCGCGCTCCCCGGGCGCCTCCGGACGGCCACCTCGCGACCCGGCAGACACAGCGAGCCCTCCCGCCTCCGCACGCGTACATGACGGATAAAATTACATTTGTACAAAAATAGATTTCTTCTCCTTTCCGCTGCTCAGACACTCGTCTTCGCTTCCTCCAGCTTCACCCGAAGCGGCTGCTGCAGCCCCGAAGGCCTGGCCGAGGGACGGCGGCCGCAGTCGGCGCCGAAGCATCTTAAAATAGATGCGGTCCCGGCCGGAGCCGCTCACGGCGTCACCGCGGGTCCCGGCGGACGTGCTCACGCGAAGCCAACGGACCGGGCATCTTCGGGAACGCGGGCACCACGCGTGTCCATGTCCGTGTCCGGCGTCCACTCCGGGCGGCTCTCGGGCACACACGGCACCGCCACCGTCCCAGCGGGCAGCACAGGCCACGCACCCAGTTCCGTGATGGGGACGCCACCAGCCGGTCACCTGTCTCTGCTCAGCCAGCCAGGCCGCCAGGCCCTGCAGGGGGCCCGGCCTGCTCCCCGCACATCCTGGGGGGACTCCCGGGGGCGACCTGGGTGAATAGGGGTCCCGCAGGCCGCTCCCCAGCGGCTGGGGCGGGCCGGCCCTGCCAACACCTTCCGCGCACAGGACATGGCGTGCCGGGCCTCGGGAGGCATCGGTGGCGTGGGGGTGGCGGGCGGCGAAGGCCCTGATGTCTCACCATCTTTAGAAAATTAAAGATTGTCCCATCAGGACGGCGATCACCAAGCATAACCGCACTGAGCCAGGCCGGTGACGGCTGGAGGCCGGGTAACCCTAACCGCGGGCGGCTGCACCTGCAGGCACTCACAGGATCTGCCCGCGGGGAGGCAGGAGCACGGCCGCAGGGGCGCTGGTGCGGGCGGGGCTGGGGGCCCAGCGGCCGGGGCCAGGGGGCTTCTGCCCAGGGGAGGTGGTGGCCTGGCCCCCAGGGCCCTGTGGGGTGTCAGCCAGTAACCGTGCTGTCCCCAAGAAGCCGACGCCCCACCCGAGCGCCCAGGTCCCCAAGAGGCCAGGGGAGCAGGAGGGAGCGATGGGGTGCGTCCGGCTGCAGAGGGCACCGGGCCTGGCACACCTCACAGTGGACAAGGCAGTGCCCAGCAGGCGGCCTCTGGCCGGGGCCCCAGCTCAGCCGGGGAGGGGCTCCAGGAGGCAGAGAATGAACTGTTCCCGAGGACCGCCTCTTCCCGCCGGGCCCCTGCCCGGCACCCTGCCCCCTCTGGTGACCTTGGGGAAGGCAACCCTGGACGGGTTGGGTGGGCAGTGTCCGAGGGAGGCTGGGGGGAGGGACGCTGCCATCAGACACCCCTGGCTGAGCAGGCAGGTCCCCCGCACCCCCTCAGCCCCTCTGCTCGGCGCTGGGCCGTGGGGTGTGGCGTGAGGATGGGAAGCACAGACCGGAGGGGGGTGACTGTGCCTGAGGCCAGTTCAACCCACAAGCCCCACCCGCAGGCCCGAGCGCCATCCACTGGGCTGGTCGGAACGCTGCAGGGGTGCTGGGCTGACGGGGTGCTGGCCCCACACAGACTCTGCCCCCAGACCAGCCCGGCTGCTCCCAGGGGCGTCGAGCCGAGCTGTGCAGAGGTCTGTGCCCACGGGCTCCTGGCTGAGCTTTGCAGTCGAACAGGCGCCACCTGTCCCTCCTGCGGCTCCTGAGCCCACAAAGGATGGAGACCCTCTGGGGGCAGCCTCCTCCCCCACATCCCGCGGGCCTCCTGGGGGCAAACTGCCCGGGAGAGGGCGGACAGCAGCGTGTGCACTGCGAGACTGCGAGACGGCGAGCCTGCGAGACGCCTGGGATGGAGCAGAGACGGGCCGGTCTGTTCGCCGGGGCAGGCGGGACCCCGGGGGGGCAGGGCGGAGCAGAGACGATGCAGAGCAGACAGGTGGGCAGCGACCCTCGTCCCTGCAGCCTCGCGGGGACCCCAAACCCGGCGGAGGGCAGCTCCTGGCGTGGCGCTGGGGCAACCCCAAGTCATCTTTGGAAAAGGGGGCTCCCCCTTCACGGACGGAGGTGCCGGCCCAGGGCCCCCGTCTTCCTCTGCAGGAAACCCCCACCCACCTGCGGCCCCCCCATCGAGGGCGGGGCTGCACCCAAACTCAGAACGCCACCCTCCCGCCCGCCCGCTGGGGGCGGGCCCTGGGGGACGCCCGGCCTCCGGGAGCCGGTGGCCGCGGGGCCGTGCGTCCGGCCGTCTGGCCGCTGGGAAAGCAGTGCCCTGCCGGGTCCAAAGACAAGCAGCATGGGGTGGGGTGGCAACACATCTCTTAGGCTTAGCAGTGACAGCCGCCCGCAGTCCACGCCGGGCGGGGGCGGGCGCGGCCGGAGCACTGGCCCGGCTGAGTCATTGGTGCGGGGCCTCCAGCACAGGGGGGCGCGGCCGGGCGGCTGGCGGCGCCGGCTAAGTCATTTGGTGCGGGGCCTCCAGCATCTCCATGAGGAAGGTGTCGATGGGCGTGTCGCCGATGAGCTTGAAGAAGAACAGGTGCTCCAGGCACTTGAGGCCGATGGACCGCAGGGCGGGCAGGCGCAGCAGCAGCTTGGCAAACCTGCGGGCGGCGGGCATGAGTGCCTCCGGGTTACTGCCCTCCGCCCTCCGCCCCCCACTCTCCGCCCCCCACCCTCCGCCCCCTGCCCTCCGCCCTCCGCCCCCTGCCCTCCGCCCTCCGCCCTCCGCCCCCCTCTCTCCGCCCTCCGTCCGCCCCCGGGCCCCCACCCTCCGCCCCCTGCCCTCCGCCCTCCGCCCCCTGCCCGCCGCCCTCCGCCCCCCACCCTCCGCCCCCCGCCCTCCGCCCTCCGCCCCCCGCCCTCCGCCCTCCGCCCTCCGCCCCCCACTCTCCGCCCCCCACCCTCCGCCCCCTGCCCTCCGCCCTCCGCCCCCAATCTCCGCCCTCCGCCCTCGGACCCCCGCCCCCCACCCTCCGCCCTCCGCCCCCCAGCCTCCGCCCCCCACCCTCCGCCCCCTGCCCTCCGCCCCCAATCTCCGCCCTCAGCCCCCCGCCCCCCGCCCCCGGCCCCCCGCCCTCGGACCCCCGCCCCCCGCCCTCCGCCCTCCGCCCCCGGCCCCCCGCCCCTGCGCCCTCCTGGCTGCCTCCAGGACAGGACTGACCCCCTGGGCGGATCCCCAAACCCGCAGGAGGCCGCCTGCACTGAGCTCTGGGGGGACAGGGGCCCTCGGCAGGAAACAGAGCCGCAGGGCGCGGAGCCAGGAGCCCGGGAGGGAAGGGCCAGTGGCCGGGCCGGGGCGGCCAGCTATGGCTGCGGGAATTCAAACCACGCGGGCTGCCTCCGAAGGCGGGGGGCGCCCACAGGGAGGGTGTGCAGCTGGAGAGTGAGGACAGCAAGGCCGCTGGGTGCGGGGGGCTGAGGGGAGGAGCTGGTCCTGGGCTGGGAAGGCCGGCCGGTGCCCCCAGGCCCACCCCCCAGAAGCAGCTTTGCTGGAGTGGCCCTCGGCCCGGAGCTCCTGTGTCCCAGGGGCGGGGGACTTGGAGGAGGAACATCAGGCGCAGACAACGGGCCCAGCGTCCCTGCAGGGCGCCCAGGCGCAGGCCCTCCGTGTGCGGCCCGCCGGGCCCCCCGCCCCGCGCCCGCCTTTCCCGGCCGAACGGCCGAGGCTGGAGCGGGGCCAGGGCGCTGTGCTGAGCTGGCGGCGGCGGCGCCAGGAAAGCGGGCTGCCGAGAAGCTCCTCTAAACCAAACCAGATGGCCCGGCCGGCCGCGTTAACCGTGTGCGCGCCGGCGGGCGGGGCGGGCCTGTGCCCGGAGTGGCCTTCGGAAGGCGGGGTATGACCGGACAGTGAGCCCGCCTCCTCCTGACAGACAGCCACCGTGCCCGCACCCTGGACCCAGCCGTGAGCCGACCCAAGGCCAGCCCATCTGCCTGCCCTGCCTGCGTTTACAAAGCACCCGCTGTGCGCTGGAGTCCGTCCCCGCCAGGGTGAGGCCACGCCTGCCTCTGGTGGTCCCCTCAGGGGGGGAGCCCGGCCTCCTGTACGCTCCCCTCAGAGGCAGCACCCACTGTGTGCGGCGTCTGTGGGCCACCGTTTTGGGTGTGTGAGCGTGTTTGCCCTGTGCTGTGCTCCCGGGCTGCCCTCGGCCCAGGAGGGCCGCCTTCTCGTCACACGGCAGTGCCCGGTGGTGCCCTGCCCGGGCCCGGGGGTGGACGGGAGGCCACGAGGCCCATGCAGGCAGGGCGGGCGGCTCACCTCCCCGGCTGCTCCGGGTACTTGTGCTTGCAGTACGCCTCCAGGGACGCGTACACCTTCTCCCGCAGCGCCTCCACCTCAGCCGGGTTCGAGAGCCCCTTGGAGTCTGCGAGGAAGAAGGGCCGCAGGTCAGAGCCCTCCCGAAGCTGCTGGGACCGTGCGCTCGGCAGCACCGAAGGCGGGCGGCTGGTGCAGGGGACCCGGGACAGGCCTGCCACCAGGGACACCTCCTGGCTGGCTGGCTCCCGCCCTCAGCCCCGAAGCCATGGACACCACCTCTTGGGGCCCTCACACGGGCCAGCCCCATGGTAACCAGAGGCACTGGGGTGGGGAGCAGCAGGGTGGTGGGTGCTGTGGTTGGGTGTGCCATGGCTGGGGGGTGGCAGAATAGGGGGTGTTGTGGCTGTGAGTGCCATGGCCGTGGGCGCCGTGGGCGCCGTGGGCGTGGGCGCAGTGGGCGTGGGCACCCGTGGCCGTGGGTGCCGTGGCCGGGCAGTCCGCACGGCGTACCCGGGTTGAAGAGCACAATGGCGCGCAGGCAGCCCAGCTCCGTCTTGTCCATGTGCATGTCCCGCATCTTGGACACCAGCTCCGTCAGGACCCTGCGAGGAGGCAGGCGAACGCCAAGGCCACGTCAGACCGTGCCCACGCTGCCCCCAGAAACGCCCACGCAGACCACAGGACAGCCGAGAAGGTCGAGGCCAACCCTGTAGCTGCCACGCCTGGCCCAGCGTCCGCCACACCAGCCCGGCCCTCCCCCCGCGGGCTCTCCGCTCTGCCCGGAGAGGGTCTCACAGGGCTTTACTCTGGGACCTGGAGACTGAGGACCCCGTGGGGCCGAGCCACGATGAGCCGGGACCTGGCCACGGCCACCGGACCGAGCTGCGGAGGCGGGCGGGGCAGCCTGAGGCATGCGCTGGGGTGCTGGCCCAACCCACACCCACAGGCCAGGAAGCACGGCCGTCCGCGGACCTGCCTCTCCGGGGCCTGTCCCCTCCTCACCAGACACTTCCTTCCAGGCAGAGCCACCAGCAGCCTCAGGGACAGAGCCTGCTGGACCCTCGGGGCAGAACTGGCAGCCCCGGGTCCGGGCCCTGCAAGGGCGTGTCCTGAGCCCCAGACGAGCTACGCCGCCCACACGGCCTGGCTCCCCGCCCATCAGCCCAGCCTGGCCGCTGGAGCCAGGAAGTGGGGGGGAGGGGGGGCGCGTGCGGAGGCAGGTGGCCCAGGTGGGGCCTGGACAGCCAAGGAGCCAGGCCTTTCCCTGCGGGGGAGAACGTGTCCTGGCATCATGTGGCCTCTGGCCCGACGCCCGTGGGCAGGGGTGGCTGCAGAGAGGGGGGCCGGGTGGACGGGGCAGGCCAGGCTCCACCGGGGGACAGGAGCCTGTCAGCCGGCTGGTCAGGGGGCTTCTCAGGGCCCACGTGGCTGTGCTGCACTCGGGCACAGGGACACGGAGTGACCACTTCTACTCATTACAAAGCACAGCTGTGGCCCGGCCCGCGTGGCTCAGGGGCTGAGTGTCAACCCAGGACCCAGGAGGTCAGGGTACGGTTCCCGGTCAGGGCTCAGGCCCGGGTTGCGGGCTCCACGCCCAGCGTGGGGCGTGCAGGAGGCCCTGAGGTTTCTCGCTCCCGGCTCCGCTTGCTCCGGAGCCAACGGGAAGGCGTATTTCTGAAGAGCAGCTTCCTCCCCACACGGTCAGAGCGGGAGGACCCCAGGCCGGTCCTGAGGGATCTAGCCTTCGTCTCGCACCCCCTCCCCCTCCCAGCCTCGTGGACAGAGGAGTGCCACGCAGTGCCACGCGCGTGCCGCGGCCGCCGCCCACCTGTCGAAGATGGCGCCCACGCCGGCGCTGTGGGCGCTGTTCCGGTGCACGTGCAGCCCGGTGGCCAGCAGGATCCCGTCCTTGACGGCGATGGAGCGGTGCGAGAAGGAGGCGATGAGCAGCTCGTTCCAGCCTGCGGGGGGCGACCTGTCACGGCTCCGGCCGGTCTCCGGGCCAAGCCAGCCCTTCCCGGAGCCCCGCCCCCCTTCCCAGAGGCAGCGCGCCCCGTCCCAGACCCCCCCCCGCCCCCAGAACCGCGTGCCCCCGTCCCAGACCCCCCCCCGCCCCCCAGAACCGCGTGCCCCCGTCCCAGACCCCCACCCCCACCCCCAGAACCGCGCGCCCCCGTCCCAGACCCCCCCCCGCCCCCCGGAACCGCACGCCCCCGTCCCAGACCCCCCCCCGCCCCCCAGAACGGCGCGCCCCCGTCCCAGAATCCCCCCGCCCCCCAGAACGGCGCGCCCCCGTCCCAGACCCCCGGACCAGGCTGGGGTTCCCAGAGTGGGCTACGTGGAACCCTAACCCCAGGAACGTTCTCCTGGAAAGAGGTTCCCAAGCACCTGCGTTTGGGAATGGCTTTCTTCCCCGGTGCACGTGGGTGCAGGAAAGGCCCTGGCAAGTCCTGCACAGCATCTCCTGTGGCACTCAAACCGTGTGCCAGGGAGGTCTCTGCAAATGCAGGATGCTCTGCCACAGCGCACCTGGGAGCGCTCCCACAATCCTCTCTGGGGCGGCCACGAACCACCTGGGAGCGCTCCCACAATCCTCTCTGGGGCGGCCACGAACCACCTGGGAGCGCTCCCACAATCCTCTCTGGGGCGGCCACAGAATTGCCACGGGACAGCAGCTGCCAGCCTGGTCCAACAGCCGCTCTCAGGGGTCACCTTGTGCTACGTGGACCCCACAGCAAACCATGGACCTGAAGCAGGCGCTCTCGCTATGCGGGCGGGAAACCAGAGCTGGCCGCAGGCGGGAGCGGGGGGAGGCGAGGTCCGGGGGGCCGGCACGGGAAGAAAACTAAAACCTTTCTGTGCTCGGTGTCTCCGGCCTCCCGCCAGGGGACATCAGCCGCTCAGAGCGGTGACAGGTCAGCCGCACGCCTGGCTCCGGCTGACATCTCAGGAGGACCCCATGTGGCCATTTCCCAGGCGGGAGCCGAGGCGGAGCGGACGGCTCGTCCGGCCAGCGCACTCACCGGCCCGCAGCAGGATGACCTGGTCGTCCAGCGGCAGCTCGGAGAAGTGCGGGATCCGCTTGGCCCACTCCACCAGCGTGAAGAGCTGCTTGTCGGCCGCCTGGCAGATGTTGGTGACGGGGTCGTTGGGCTGGGCGGGGAGGGCACCGCAGTGAGAGGCGGGCAGCGGCCTCGGCCAGCCCAGGCCCCCGGCCGGTGCAGCGCGGACGCCCCCGCGGACACCACGCCGAGGCCCCAGCCCGACGTGGCCGAGGGCAGGGTTCTGAGGTGGGGGCCCTGCAGGGGCTCCCTCTGGGCGGGGCTGCGGGGGCCCAGCTCCATGCGGCTGTGTGGCCTCCAGCGAACCCCCATCGTCTCTGAGCCCCGGTTCCCACGGAACCACCTCAACGGCCCCAGCTCCACAAGCTCCCTGCACCCAGGGGTGGCCTTCCGGTCCTGGGAGGCGTGGACCTCGCAGAGGCCACAGAACGCCGGCGCCCCCTGCCGGCCGCCCTGCGCTCCGCCGGCTGCCCACCTGACCTGCGCCTCGGCCCTTCCTCCAAAGCTGGGGAGACCAGGCGCCAGCTCCTTCTCTCCGAACAGCGCCCTCACTAGGCAGAACTAACTCTGCCGCCCGCCCGCCCGGGACTCTGGTTGCTTGTGGAGCTTCTGCTCCACCGTGAAGCCTCCCCGCTGCCTCCCCCTCTCTGGACGGGAGAGAAGGGCCGGGACAGGCCGGCCACACGCCAGGCCACGCTGTCTGGGGTCGTGGGGTCACGGAGTGCAGGGAGCTGGGGGCCGCAGCCTGCCGGAGCCTCCTGAGCAGAGAAGAGGGGACCCCCACACTCTGACTGGGGCAGAGGGTCACGGGTGCGCACCTGCCACACAGAGGTGTCCTGTGTCTGACTGAAGGTGGGCAGTGAGGAGCGGCTCAGTGCGCCCCAGCCTCGTGGCGACAAGGGGGGATTCACACACACACACACACACACACACGCACGCCCCGCAGTCACCAGCGCTGGGGGTATGTGGAGAGACTGAGGCCCAGCCCACCTAACGGGGCCGGGCCGCCCGGAGGAGCAGGCCTCCCTGAGAAAGCGGCCCCGAAGCTGAGACGGGAGCCTGAGGAGTCAGCTGGGCAGCATGTGCAAAGGCCCTGGGGCAGGTGGGCGGCCCAGCAGACGTGTCTGGCCACGGAGCCGGGGGAGAATGGTCAGGGTGGGCTGGGCGCCCACGGGGACACGGGTGAAATCTGCACGTAACGCTGCCCGGGGCCTGGGCCCGATGTGGGGCCCCACCACCCGCTGGACCATGGGCCGGGGACCACAGGAAGCATGAAGGGTAAGGGCAGAGTCCGGCTCTGATTGCAGGAATCGGAAAGGCCGGCCCGGGGCGCTGGCTGGCCCGCAGTCCCTGGGGAGGCGGCGGCGGCACTCACCGAGCTGGGGTTCAGCCCCATCGTGGCCTCCACGTACGTCTCCGTCTTGGGCTCCACGGCCAGCTCGGCCTCCAGGATCTTCTCCACCGGCATGTCCTCGTTGGCGCTGCTGGTGGACTCCACCTCGCTCTCGCTGCGGTCCTTGCCCCGCTGCCGCTCCTCCTGCACGGCTGAGACGGAGAGCCCTCGCACCGGCTCCCCGGGGCCCCCCGGGGTCCCCACGCGCCCCGCCCGCCCGGCCCAGGAGCAGCCACCCCAGCCGGAGAGGGAGAGCGGGGCTCCCGGGAGAGGGGCCGAGACGCAGAGGCAGGAGGGCTGCCAGCCGGGCCCTGCCAGGCGGCCCCGGGCGGTCCCCCGGGGGGTCCCGCTGACGGGCTCCCGCCGGCGCCAGGAGCTTCGGGGCTGAGCACAGCAGGCGGAGGAGGCTGAGGCCCCCGGGAAGACCCTCCCCAGCAGCCAACACAGTTGGGGGCACTCACCCCAACACACCAGGGTCCCCAACATCAGAGACCCGCTGACGGGAGGGCGAGCATGTGGGAAGGGGCGTCCGGGCTGGCGGGCACTGGCCCTGCTGCCTCCTCTGCTGTGGGCACTGCCAGCGGGCACCGTCCTGACCTTATGTGACCCCGGGAAGCAGGACTGGATCGCCAAAGGCGCTGCCCACCCCCTCCTGCGGGCGGCCCTGGACCCTGGGGGCGCTGACGGAGGCGCACAGCGAATTCGGGTCCTGAGCCCGGGGCCTGGCCGTCCTCCGTTAAGGAACGCGACCCAGAACACAGTCTGCCCCTGAGTCAGTCACCATGTGCACACACAGGACACACTCATGGCACAAACATGTGCACACAGAGGGCACACACGTGACATGTGCATACACAGGGCACACACATGCGCACCACACACACACACAGCCCCACCAGGCACCGTGCTGCCACCTGCCTATGCCCTCGCTGCCCGCAGGCACCCTGAGGCCAGAGGAGCAGTCACCTGCCCGAAGGCGACAGGCACCTGACCCAGCCGGCTCTTCCTCCTCAGGAGAAATGTGGGGCCACGTATGCCTGTGCGTGCACACACACGTACATACGTGTGCATGTGTATGTGCGCACACACACACCAGACACTGCTCCCTCCGCACCCCGGTCCCTCAGAGTCCGGAGATGGGGTACAGGAAGTGAGGTCGGGAGGAAGGAAGCAGCAGAGGCCCGCCTCCCCCTCAGCCCGGAGCCCCCGGCCCGCAGAGGAGAGAGCTGTGTCAGGACATTTCCAGGGGCTGGGCCGTCCCGTCCAGCTCGGGGTGCAGGACAGATGGGGGCGTGCCTCCTGGCCCCTCTGGGCCCCTCGTCTGGGAGACCCGGGAGCAGCCTGCAGGGCGGCCCTGAGGCCACGGGGCCACGAGTCACTCTCCGAGGAGGGCCGTGGATGTGAGACACGGGAGGGAGCCGGGAGCGCCGGCCGGGGGTCAGGCTCCCAGGGCCCACCCGCCTCCCGACATGCCCGGAGCTCAGCCGGAGCACGGAGCCCGGGGACCAGCCTGAGCTGTGGAGGGCACCCTCTGGGGCGCAGGACGGCGCCCTGCCCTGCGCTGTGCCACACCTCCCGACACCCCGGCCTCGGACACTCCGGCCCCTCGGGCGGGCGGGCGCGCGGCCTGCCTGACCCCCTTCTTCAGGCAGTGGCCTGGCCACCTCCCACGGAGGACACCCCCAGCGCACTGTGTGCCCGGCGCCATCGTGGTGCCCGGCGCCGGGCGTGGTGGGCTCCCAGCCTGCTCTGTGCCGCGGCCTCGGGCTCAGGCCAGGGTGCCCACCTCGCCCTGGCGCACTGGAGCCCAGCACTCTGGCCGGGCTCCAACCCAACCCACTGCCCACCTCACCCTCAACCGGGCCGGGTCCCCCCACCTCCAGCAAGCCCTCCCTGACGGCACCGGGCGCCCAGGGCCATCGGGGGCACACGCCTCCCCAGGGGCCTGAAGGGATCAGAACCGAGGGAGCCGGAGCCGACACAGCCGCACGCGCTCGGGCCAGCCCTGGCCTCCTGGGCCTCCGTTCCCCACAGGCACGGCCCCGGCCGGCCCCCAGCGCAGCCCCGGAGCCCTGAGCTCCCCTGCCTTGGCCACACGAGCCGGTCACCAAAGCCCCGCCCACATCACCGTGCCCCCCGCCGGAGCCTCGGGGAGGGTCCTGCAGGACACCACTGCCCGCTGAGGCTGCGATTTCTCACGAGAACACTGAGGCTGAGGAGGAGCAGAAACAAAAACTGCAGCCGCCACCAGAGGGCAGTCAGCAGCGGCAGGAAGGAGCTGGGCGCAGGCGGGCCACGCCTGGGCCACGGAACAGCCGCCGTGAAGAAGGGAACAGGCAGCGAGACCCCACCCCCAGGGGCCCACCCTCTGAGGGCAGGGGTCATCAAACCTCCCGAAGGGGAAACTGAGGCCACGGACAGCCAGGAGCGAGGGGGAGGCCACTCTGCCGGCCAGGCCTGAGGGCCCAGAGCAGGGCTGGCTGCACCTGCGGACAGTTGCAGTGACTTCGGAGGCGTGGCCCTCCAGGCTACCTGCCGGCCCCGCCCCCAGCCAACGAAATGAGACGGTCCCACAAAGCCAAGCCTGCGGGCACCCACACTCCTGTGCCAGCCTGGGTCCCTTCCCGCCCACCGCCCACCTCCAGCGTGGCCCTCACCGTCCTCTGCCTCTGCCCGCCTCCCCGGAGCCCGTGCTGGGCCCTGGGCACTGCGCCCTCGGAGAGGGTCTGAGCAGGGGCTGCCCCAGGCGCTGGGCGCCACCCGGGTGCGGGGCCGAGGCCGCCCTCTGCTGGCGCGCGGGAGGGGTCGGCCCCGGACACGCTGCCCACAGCGGCCTCGCGGGGAGTGAGCGCCCGTCGCGGAGGTGTGCGAGCAGAAGCCTCCGCCTACCTTCGCGCTTCATGCCCATGGCCAGGCACTTCTGGTAGCGGCAGTACTGGCAGCGGTTGCGCTGGCGCTTGTCGATGAGGCAGTCCTTGTTGTCCCGGCAGGTGTAGGTCAGGTCCTTCCGCACCGTCCGCTTGAAGAAGCCTTTGCAGCCCTCGCAGCTGTACACGCCGTAGTGCTTGCCTGGGCGGGCGGCAGGGCCGTGAGCGCCGGCCCCGCACCCGGGCCCAGCCGCACTGCGCTCCTGTGCCAGCGTCACCGCCAGCAGCTGCCTCCTCTCGGGGCCTCGGGGCCACCCCGGAGCCCGAGCGCCCTCACTGCTGGCCGGCCCAGCCCCCGCCCCCGCCCCACCCGTGCCGCCCGCCTACCTGAGGAGCGGTCCCCGCAGATGGCGCAGATGTGCTTGGTGAAGGACGCCATGTTCCCTGAGGGGTGGGCCGGGACCTTGAGGACGCCATTGAGGCCCAGCGGGGGCTTGATGTCCTCCGAGCTGCTGACGGGGTTCATGGGCGAGCTGAGCTGCGGGGGGAGCGCGGGCTCAGCCTGGCGGCGCCGGGAGCCCTGGGCACACGCCGTGGCGCCCCGCCGCACCCCCACTTTACAGAGAGAAACCGGGGCTCAGGGGGCCCTGCCCGCCCCAGGCCACAGCCGGGAACAGAGGGTGAGCCCCATGGAGCTCCAGAGCGAGCGGCCCCCGCTGGTGGGCCCGATGGTGCAGGCTGCCCGGGCCCCTGCCCGCCTACGGCCCCTCCCTTACTGGGCACTCCCTCGGCCGGCCGGTGTGAGCCCCATAACCGTCCCGGTGAGCCGGGCACTTCGGGGCTCCCCAACACACAGCGGGGCAGCGAGGCCCAGGCACAGCGCGGAGGGAGGAGAGCTGGGGTTCGCCCAGCGGCCACATGCCCGGCCTCGGGGGCAGGGGGGTCTCGATCGCGTGTGTCGGGAGGGGGACGGCCAGGGCCCCCTGCCTCTCCCCGCGCCCGGCGCCCTGCAGGCCGCCCGCTCGGAGGAAGCGTGGGAAACTCACCGGTCACCCTGGCAACAGCTGCCGGGCTGCAATGACACAGCAGTTTTGGTTCCGCTGCGTCTGCCCGGCTCTCGCGCCGGCACCGAAGGCCCCACGGTGCTGCCCGCTGCACCCGCAAGCCCGCCCGCCCCCCAGGCACCGGGACCCCGGCCGGGCGGCCCCCAGCGCCCACTTCTGCAAACCCCCGGCCGAGGCGGAAACCGGGGGACGGCGGCCGCAGCTGCTGCCCCCTGGCAGCCCGGCGCCGCCCCACACAGGAACCTCACCCTCTTCCTTCCCGGGCCCCCCATCCCACCCCCTCCTCACGGGACCGGAAGAGCGTGGCGCTCAGGCACACGCCTGGGAACGGCCCCGAACAGCGTTTCACGCCCCCCAGGCCCGGCCCTCCTCTGCCCGGCGGGCTGGGTGCTGAGGACGGGCACCGCCCCCACGGTGGGCTGCAGCCGCAGAGCCAGCCCCCGGGCTGGCATCCCGGGGCCCCACCGCAGAGCGGGGCGGCCGGCATGGCCGGTGCCGTCCGCAGGAGGCAGGGTGCGGCCCGATGAGGGGACCGCAGCTGAGAGAAGGCGCCCCCGTGCCACGTGCTGCGCCCGGGCTGTGCCGGCCGGCCTCGGGGCGTGGGAACCCACGGGAAATGCCCCACCCCCGGTGTGGCCCCACTGGCTGCAGAAGAGCCCACAGTGACCCCGCCGGGCACCCGCACAGCCGGCCGCAGCTGCAGGCCCGGGGACGCAGCTTATCCCCCATCCTGCTCCTCCGCGGGGACCGGGAGGTCAGCCTCTGAGCACAAGTCCGAGTGCAGGGCCTGGGCTGCGGGCCGCTGGCGGGGACTGACCGGCTAAGGCGCCCGGCACCCCCACTCCCGTCTCCCAGAGGGGAGGCCGCCGGCCGCCGGCACCGGGAGGGGCTGCGGCCAAACACCTGAGAGTGGGGGGACGGCCCTGCGGAGCCAGCTGTGGGGCCCCCGAGGCTGTGAGGGGACCGCTCCCGGCTGCAGCCTCCCCGAGGGGGGACCGCCCCACGGCCCGCGGCTGTGTCAGCTGGCGGCCGGGGCAGGAATGAAGGTTTCCCTCCTGGGGCTGCCAGCCCATGCTGGGTGGAAGGGGCACCTGCCCTGTCTCCCGGCCCCCCACGTGCACGTCCTTGGACGGGCCTGCCCTAGGTAAACTGAGGCAGGGCTGGAAGGAAGGCTGGCCGGGTCCCAGCAGACTGGATGGGCGGGAGGTGTGTCTGGGTCAGTGACTCCCCGGCTGCTGGTGGCAGGTCCCTGCCCGCCCGGGCTCCGCGGCCCTCGGGCACAGAGTCGGCGGGAGCTGGGAGCCTTGGAGGCCCTGCCCGTGTGGGAGAGGAGGGGCTGGAGCCCCTCCACTGGCCCCAGGGAGGGAGGGAGAGAAACACCGATGTGAGAGCGGCCACAAACCAGGGCCTTCCACAGGTCCCTGACTGGGATCGAACCTGCCACCCAGCCAGGTGCCCACCCAGCCAGGTGCCCACCCAGCCAGGTGCCCACCCAGGCAGGTGCCCACCCAGGCAGGTGCCCACCCAGGCAGGTGCCCACCCAGGCATCGAACTGGCAACCCTGAAGTGCACAGGATGACATCCAACTGAGCCAGCAGAGCTGGGCCACCCACTTTGCCCACACACTTCCCTCTCTCCCTCCCCTTCCCTCTCCCTCCCTCCCTCTCCCTCTCCATATATGTGTGTGTGTGTGTGTGTGTGTGTGTGTGTGTATATATATATATATATATATATATATATGTTGTTGTTTTTTAATTGATTTCAGAGAAGAAGGAGTGAGAGAATCATCCATGATGAGAGAATCACTGATCAGCTGCCTCCTGCAGCCCCCACTGGAGATGGAGCCGCCACCTGGGCCTGTGCCCGGACCGGAATCGAACCCTGGTGCTCATAGGTCGGTGCTCAGCCGCCGAGCCCCGCCGGCTGGCCCGCCCTGCCTTTTCTCTCAATGCCGGACAGGCCCACCGGCCACGGCAGGTCCTCGGCCCGCGGTCCTCCTTCCCCTTCTCGGCGCCACGCTGCCAGGCCTCGGCTGGGCCGTGGCTCCCGCAGCCCCTCACCCGCCTCCCGGGGGCCGGAGCTGAAGGCTCCTGCGGGGCCAGGGCGCGGTCCCGTTTCCCCTTTCATATCCTCGGCCCTTATTTCAGTTCCCGCCGGACCGACGGGCCTTACTCAGCCTGGCCAACGCCCGGCCCTGCTCATCCTCCGCTCTCCGCACCCGCCCTTCCTCCCGATCGCACTCGGCCCCCACTGGCCCCGGGAGGCCTCACCACGGCAGACCTGGAGGGGGCTCCGGGCACCTGCCCCTGCCCAGCCCACAGCAGGCAGGCATCCCCCACCTCGCACACAGCCCGGGTGCCAGGCCGGGCGGCAGGTCTGTGAGCACCAAGCTGGCCAGGCCCGAGGGCGTCAGCTCCCACTGCCCGCTGCCGTCTCGGCTGCCCTTTCCGGTGCCCGCAGCCAGCAAGAGGGGGCGGCAGCTACCCGCAGAGCAGCCCGGAAAGTGACTGTGCCCTGCTGCCCCCCGCCTCTGGGTCCTGGGAGGCCAGGGCTAGGGCCCTGCGGGACGGGAGCCTGCGCTGACCCCCAGCCCGGTGAGGGGGGAGACACGGTCGCCCCGGAACAGCCGGCGGGCTTCTCCCCCGGGCCTGGCTAGACAGGCCCCAGCCGGGCCGTGAGCGGGGCCAGGCGGGCCCGAGCCCCGCACCCCGGCAGGGACGTGTCTGCCCAGGGTCTGGGCGGGAGCACTGCGGCCTCAGGGCCTGGGTGAGCAGACGGAGGGGAAGGACAGGCCCAGGAGGGGCCCTGAGAGGACGTGGCCCCGGGGCTGCAGCCTGAGCACGGATTCCCCCTGCAGAGCGCCGAGCCACGCAAGCAGCGTACCCTACGGGAGGGCCAGGCTGGAGTGGTGACCTCTGAGGGCCACGGGCTCACCCAGACCCAGGCTCGAACCCAGGCCGAGGTCACCTTTCCAGGCTCGGCTTCCCAGAGATGAGGGGCCATGACAGCGCTGCCCCGGGCCGCGGGCTGCCACCGAGGTCCGCCCCACTTACCTGCGGGCTGCCGGTGCCGAAGCCCAGGGTGGGCGTGGTGGGCACGGACATGGAGTGGGGGCCCATGGGGGAGCTGATGACGGAGAAGGGGGGACCCATGCCGTTGATGGGCGAGCTCAGCGTGCTGATGGGCGAGTGCAGCTGTCCCGGGGAGCCGAGCGGTGCGCCCAGGCCGGGCCCCAGCGAGGGGTGCAGCGAGGGGGCCGCCATGGAGCCCCGGCCGGTGGGCGAGCTGAGCGGGGAGGAGTTCACCTGGGTGGAGAAGTCTGCAAGACAGAAGCACAGGGGGCCGTCAGCACCCCGGCTGGGACCAGGAGGAGAGCAGCCAGGCTCCGTCCCCCGCCCCCGGGCTCACCCCCCCCCATCCCCAACGACACGGCTCCGTCCCCCGCCCCCGGGCTCACCCCCCCCCCATCCCCAACAACACGGGCTCCGTCCCCCGCCCCTGGGCTCACCCCCCCCCATCCCCAACAACACGGGCTCCGTCCCCCGCCCCTGGGCTCACCCCCCCCCCAATCCCCAACGACACAGGCTCCGTCCCCCGCCCCCGGGCTCACCCCCCCCCATCCCCAACGACACGGGCTCCGTCCCCCGCCCCCGTCCCCAATGACACAGGCTCCGTCCCCCCCCCCCGGGCTCACCCCCCCCCCCATCTCCAACAACCAGGCGGTCAGGCGGAGGGACGGCTCCCTCCACCGCACCACCCGGCCTGGCTCGGCCTTCAGGCTCAGGGCCCCGGGCAGATGCAGGACGAGACGCTGGCAGCCGGCGGGACGCTCCGGGTCCCTGTCCAGCAAGGAGGCCAACGACTGCCATTCGAACCCTCACCGCCCAGGCCTGTCCCCCAGCATGCCTGGGAGCCGGAGAGCCAGCCCCTCCCACGTACTCAGGGGCCAAACTGCAGGCTGTCCTGTGGAGACAGCCCCCTGGGGGGCAGAACCAGCACCCTGCCCAGGGCAGACCAATGCCTGGAGGGAGGCGGAGGCGGGAGCTGGGGGAGGGGGGCTGCCATCACCCCATTTCACAGGGGGAGGGGGACCTGTGTTCTACACCTGCCTTGGCTGCGAACGGCCAGCTACTCCCGGCCCCCGGCCTGGGCCCGCTCCGGCCACACAGACCAGCAGGACCGGACTCACGGCCTGGGTGGCGTCTAGGGGCCCAGTGGGTGCCAGGCCTGGCGTCGGGCGCCGCAGGACGGCATGGCCGTCCGCACCCGCCTTCCACCTCAGAGATTTCAACGCCCAACCAGCGCCAGGTCAGCCTCCCACCCAACACCCCTCACCCCACCCCGAGGGCTGGGCAGCAGGAGACCCAGCCGCGCTCAGGTGGGCACCCCGCCCGCCCGGGGCCTGAGCAGGAGCCGCTGGAGCCGCAGGGTGTCCGGGCCAGCCTTGCCCCTCCTGGGCCTCAGCCTTCCACACCCGGCCAGGGGCAGCGCCCACACTTCTGAGCAGCCCAGAGGCCGTGGCACTATGGGGAGTCCGGTCCCCTCACCCCGTCAGGGCACCCCCCCCCAGCTTGTCCGCCCCCAACAGCCAGGCAGCCCTCCACACCCGGACGACTCGGACCCCCCGAAGCTCAGAGCATCACGGGCTGAGCATCACGCGCACGCCGCGTCCCCATGCCCTCCCCTCCCCTCCCCTCCCCGCCGGCCGCCCCGGGTCCGCTCCGGCCGGGCCCAGGCCCTCCGCCGGCCTCGGGCGGACGGCGCGGGCACCTCGAGCGGGGGTCCCGCGGGAACCGGAGGTTCAGAGGCCCCGCCGGGCCGTCCTCCCCATCAGCTGCCAGTTTCCACCCCGCAGCCCCGCTGCCAGCACTGCCTCTGGCTTCCCCTCCCGGAAGTCCACTTTCCCGCCGGCGGGCCTGCCAGGCACCTGCCTGCACAGCGAGGGGCGCTCTGCCGCGGAGCCCTCGCCAGGCACAGGCCTGGAGGAGGCCCCCCGAACGGGCACCAAGGCGAGGAAGCCCGCGACGGCAGGGGAGCACACGGCCGCCTGTGCGCCATCGCTCCCTGGCGTCGCGCGGCCGGGCGGCCGGCACGTGACCCTGAAGCACCTGCACAGCCCTGACCTCCCCCGACAGACAAGGAGCTGAGGCGCTGGGAGGCACATCCCAGAAGCCCACAGGCCGCTGCGGGGACACGGAGTGCCCGCCCCCCGCCTGCACGCATCTCCGCGGGGCGGACAGGCAGGCGCTCCGCAGAGGCCGAGGGGGACCAGGGCCCGGCCGGGCTGCTGCCGTCCGGGTGGGAGAGAGAGGGAAGATGTATGTTGCCAACATCACCAGAGCCCACACTGGGGCAGAGGCGACCACGGGGGTGTCTGCGGAAAGCCTGGGGGGGGCCCAATCCCAGAAGCCAGTGGGCCTGGCTGCCCCGAGGGAGACGCCCATCTTCCCTCCCAGCCTGTGACTGCGATGGCCAAGAGGGCGAGGGCACCCTGGATTCTCGCAGCTGCCCCCTCTCTCCGCCCTCTGCAGGGCGTTGGGGCGGGGACGGAGGGCCCTGAACCAGGGGCTGCTGGCCGCACACGTCTGCAGGGACACACGTCTGCAGGGACACACGTCTACAATGGCACATGTCTGTAGGGACACGCCTGCAATGGCACACGTCTGCAGGGACACACGTCTGCAGGGACACACGTCTGCAGGGACACACGTCTGCAGGGACCTGCGGCTGAGAGGCTGGGCCTGGGCTGCGTCTTGTTTGTTTGCTGCTCCGGGGCAGGAAGGGGAGGGAGACCCGGAGAAAGCTTGGCCGGAAGGAAGGGAGGGGGGAGGTGGCTGCCAGGCTGCGCCCCCAAGCTCCCCCAGCCCCCAGGCACCACAGCACCAGCCCAGAGCCCTGAGGAGGGAGCCAGTGAGCGGGAGGGGAAGTGGGGGGAGAGGAGAGCGCAGAGGGGCCCCGGGAGGAGGGAGACACGGGAAGGAGCCTTGGCCTCCGAGTGCAGCCCGTCCCCACGGGAGGGGCCTGGCTCCTCAGGCGCGCCCCCATCCTGTGTCCCCCCATCCTGGGCGCCCCGTCCTGTGCCCCGTCCTGTGCCCCGTCCTGTGCGCCCGTCCTGTGCGCCCCGTCCTGTGTGCCCCCCGTCCTGTGCCCCCCGTCCTGTGTGCCCCGTCCTGTGTGCCCCGTCCTGTGCCCCGTCCTGTGCCCCGTCCTGTGCCCCGTCCTGTGTGCCCCGACCTGTGCCCCCCGTCCTGTGCCCCCCGTCCTGTGCGCCCCGTCCTGTGCCCCGTCCTGTGTGCCCCGTCCTGTGCCCTCCGTCCTGTGCCCCGTCCTGTGCCCCCCGTCCTGTGCGCCCCGTCCTGTGTGCCCCGTCCTGTGCCCCCCGTCCTGGGCGCCCCGTCCTGTGTGCCCCGTCCTGTGCGCCCCGTCCTGTGCCCCGTCCTGTGTGCCCCGTCCTGTGCCCCGTCCTGTGCGCCCCGTCCTGTGTGCCCCGTCCTGTGTGCCCCGTCCTGTGCCCCGTCCTGTGCGCCCCGTCCTGTGCCCCCCATCCTGTGCCCCCCGTCCTGTGCCCCGTCCTGTGCGCCCCGTCCTGTGCCCCGTCCTGGGCACCCCAGGGTCGGGGCTGCAGCCATAGCCCGGAGCAGCCTGTGAGCCGGGGCCCACGTGCCTGCGTGCAGGATGGCTGCCCGGCCCCCGGGGCCTTCCTGTTTACACACGGCCACAGACACGCTGGGAGGCCGGTGACAATGGCCGGGTGTGTGTTCTGGAATCTTCTGCAGACACACTCGGGCCAGGAAAGGAATGTCAGGAAGAAAAGGCCAAGCACCCCAGCCGCCCCGGGGCAGGCCCTGCGCCCCGAGCCTGGCCCGCCTCCCGCTGGCGGGCCCCACCCACCGCCGAGCGGCAGATGAGGCGATAAGGTTCTGGAAAGTCCTACTGGGGACCCGGCCTCGTCACCACAGCTTATCTGATCCTCGCTCTGCGCACAGCCCCGGCCCACCCACCGCCGAGGGGCGCACACACGGGGCCTGAGGGAGGACAAACCCAGCCCCTCACCCCGTACACCAGCAGCTCCGGTGGGCCTCGGGGGAGGGACCTCCGGGAAGGGACAGGCCCTGTCCACACAGGCAGCCCGGCCGGCGAAGGGGCCTCACAGAGCTGCCGGGTCAGTCCGGGAAGGCAGCCTGGAAGAGGCGGCAGACAGATCCGGCACAAGGAGGAGTCGAGGCCACAAAACACCAGGAGGCCAGAGCGGGAGCGAGGAGCAGAGGGAGGCGGTGGCCGCTCGGCAGCTCAGGCAGCGCCGGGCGGGCCGGGGAGAGGCGGAGGGCGAGGTCGCACTCCAAGCTGGAGTGCAGTGTCCTCGCGGGACGCCGCCCGGCCGCTCGGAGGTGGCGAGTCTCCGCGATGGGCGTCTGCAGCAGAGCCACCTCCACCGCGGCAGCTGCCGCAGGCCCCGGAGAGGGGTGCCCCACCGGACCCCGCTCCTGAGCTGCACAGGCCCCCCAGCACGGCCCTGGGCCCCCCCGGGCCTCGCAGCCGGGAACCCCCACCGTGCCCTTCCGGCCTCTGCCTGGCAGGCGGGGGAGGACGGGGAGGCAGGAAATGCCAGCGTGTGCTGCTGGGGGAGCCCCAGACTCAGCCCCTCCCGGCAGGCAGGGAACCCCTAGTTCTTGGAAAGGGGACTGCAGGTCCCCCGAGGCCCTCCTGAGTTTGCAGGAGCGATGCGGGCAGCAGGTCCAGCCGGGTCCACACCAAGGCGCAGGGGAGGGTCCCCCGGGGCTGGAGTGGGCCAGGAGCACCCAGGAGAGGCATGGAGTACAGGGGTGCCTGGGAGGGGTGCCCAGGGGGGTGCCCGGAGGGGAGGCGGGCACAAAGGGTAAGAGGCCCCTCGGAGAGCCAGCAGCCACAGGAGAAGGCCAGGCTGGAGCATAAGCACCCGCCCTGCATCTCGGAGCCCGGCCTGGCGCGCCCCCAGAACGGAAGCCCTGCAGGGAGGCGCCCCCTCAGCCCCCCCTCCGGAAGGACCGCTTCCCCTGCGCCCGGAGGAGAAGTGGCCGCCGGCGGGGGCTGCGGTGGGACCACGGCGCGCCAGGGTTTGGGGGAAGCGGGTGTGGGGACAGGGGGGCCTGCAGGCAGGAACTGAGGCGGGCAGGCCTGCGCCAGCGTGCTGGCCCCGGTGCCAGGGGCTCCGCCAGGGTCCCGGCTGTGAGCGGGAATGCCAAGAGCAGGGCTGCGGGCAGGGCCTGGCAGGGGGGACGGACACCACCAGTGCCCGCTCTGGCCTCCTTGCAGACTGCAGGCCAGCTCGGGGCCTGGCCC